GGGGGGGGGGGGGGAATTATCAAATCAAAAAGTTTCCGACTGCGAAACAAGCAAAGCTGGTTTTCACGGGTGAAAGAAATTTTGCTGAAGCATACCCGTTAGTATCTTAGAATTTTTCAGCCCCTCCCCTCTCCCCTCTCTCGTTCCCCTCCCCCCTGGTTAGATTTTAATCTATATCATCGAAACGATCATTCGATATTTATTAGTCGATACGACGATGAAAAACGTATAATTATTGTCATTGTTATCATTGTATACGAGCGACGCGTACAAGCCACACGCTATATAATACGTTGTGTACCCTAAATATGCATAAGTACAAACGCGCGCTCGATTTACACTTTACATGGTACAAGCACGCCTATCGTATACCGGTCGAAGACACATATATATATATATATATATATATATATATATTTCAATTTTTTTTATATACCAAAATTGAAGGAACTGCGTAATTTTTTTTTTTATTTAAGGGCAATTCCTGTATTTCGTTCCACGTGCGTTATGGATTTCTCTTTTATTTTGGATTTTCTTTTTCTTTTTTTCTTTTTTTCTTTTTAAGAGTTAGTAGGTAGAGACCGTCGCTCTTTTGGAATGTTGATTCAGAGATACATATATAGATTCTTAACGCGAAGTGGGAAGGTACTCTCCACGCTTGTACATAGCGGTACATAGATATGCATATACTTATGGTATATTGCTAGATATCATGTACGGGAGGTACTACGGACTTGTTTGATGTATGTTATATATATTTTTTTTTTGTGAACTTTATTTTGTAATAGTGCTACATTATATATATATATATATATATATATATGCCGTTGCGTAAGAGGTGGACGAGGAGTATTGATGAATTATCGATAAATTACCGTAAATATGCAGTACGCAATGCACGATATTTATGTACGCGATAAGAGTACGGATTGCGTCGAGTTAAATAAAGGCGTAACCTTAAGTCTACAGGATGGATACATACGCGTGCGCCCATGCAGAGACATATACACATAAACACACACATACACTAAATAGGAAATTAATAATCTTTATTTACCATGGCGTAAGCGCATACTGAAATATTATATTTAACTACTAATGGTATTTGTAATTGAGTGTCGGCGTTTCGGTATTTATGTGTACCGAGAGTTGTATACATAAATATCGAAATGGGGTAAAAAAATAGTATTGGCACTTCCTCGGGATATCCACAAAAATTTCCTTGATTGCGCGGATGCCTTTAAGGGGATGACAATTTTTTTCACTTTTAATTTTTATTCTCTTTTCCCTCGGACTTTTCTGTTTGGAAATCCCGTGGCCGGATGACGGGGTCATACTTAACTCTGTGGATCGTGAGGGGTCGGCGGGACCGTCGAGACCGGCTAAGACTTTTGGTGGATTCTCTGAGTGGATATCCTGGAGGGCGTTGGGACGTATTCGAAAATATATTAGAAACGAGTACCCGAGATGGTTCGGGTTGCGTTTTTGAATTGTGAGGTAAAAACGTTGGATAGAAAATGCGATGGCGAAAGATGAGAGAGAGAGAGAGAGAGAGAGAGAGAGAGAGAGAGAGAGAGAGAGATTGAGGGTGAAAGTTTGAGAAAAGGAGAGAGTGAGAGAGATATATGTATAGAGAGAGAGAAAGGGAGTGTCCGATGTGAAGCAGGGAGAAGTAAAATAGGATATAGTGAGAGTAAGAAAGTGAGAGAGAAAAAAGAGAGAATACTATCTAGAACGAATAAGTGTGATAAAATAAGTATAAAAAAAAAAAGGAAACGCAAGTTTGTGCATTTGGGTTCGATCCCTGTTGCGTGAGATATATGCAATTATTAATTAATGCGGGGAGGGCCTTTTCCGTGTTGTTCTTGTCGCGAGAATGCCCTCTCCGCGAGTACATACATCTGGTGTGAATCGTGTATTTGATAATATCTATAATATCGTAACTAATTAACAAGTAACCGCGTTAAGCAGTTTATCGAATCAGATTTATTGGACGCGCACGGGCCGATTTGTCGCTTCGCGAAATAACCTCGACGCCATTGCTTGCGGGCTGAGAAATTATTTTTTGATTTTCGAAAAATTTTTTTGTTCCTCGACACGCGATCGTTCGCGTCTGCGGTGCGCGCTAAGAAGTTTCGCGAGCGGGCGCGCGAGACTCGAGGATTGTTTTTGGCTTTATTTAAAAAAAAAAATGTTTTCCTTCATTTTTTCCTTTTGGTTTCGTGTCCCAAGTGCGTATTTGCGATGCGTTCGAAGCCCGTGTCGCGGCTGGAAGTGGAGAAGACAAAGAGGATATAAACTATGGGAAGAGGAATATCTAGCTAATGAAGAAAATAGTTAAATTAATAGCTGGGCCAGCGTCGCCTGTGTCTCTCGACCCGGGGATACGTATATTTGTTACTGGCTTTTTCAAAGAGACCGTATACAAATCAGAGTGGGTCTTCTGCTTGTCTCCGTTCAATTAGTTTGTCATTTTTTTCTGGGGAGACTTACTCTCCCGTGATATCGCAAATTTTTACATTAGAATTTTTCGCGAACCCCCCTTCCTCCTATTGGTCGCGGTTATCGCGCGAGCTCGTTTTTGTCATTGGGTGTGAATAGGGGAAAAAAAATTGTTTTTCGAGACTCGCCGGCGACGCTAACAGAGGGAATCGCAGCGTCCCCTTTTAGAGGCTGGTAGAGCATTTTGCTGAGAATTAAAAGAAAAAAAAAAGTATCACTTGTTTCTGTTTCTCTTATTTTCTCTGTGTAGTCGCTCGTGCCAGTTTTTAGTATGGCGCCTTTGACTTTTACGTAATTAATTGGGTCGTACGTATATGCTTGTACGACTTGTCCGCTGCACTGCCTGCGGATTGCATTTTCTCTTTCATCGAGAGAATACATTACCCCAGTGTGATCCTCCCTCTGGCCATAACGATCCCCTCATCCGTGGATACGCCTTTACATTCCTTCGGAGGCACTTGCTACGAAGATGACCACGTGATCACATTTTTCCCTTCTTTTTCCACTCCCCCCCCCCCCCC